CAACCGGTTCTCTGCCCTAATGATTTCTTCCAACAACCAGTTCACCAAACTGCTCAGAAAGCTAACAACCGGTTCTCCCAAACTGGTGCGAACTGGTTGAATCCCACCACTGGGGGTGGGGTTATGAAAACTGTCTTCCACTACTTGTGGGGTTATCAGAGAGAAGAGGGGATTGATTTATTCTCCAAAGCACCAGAGAGCAGAACAAGAAATAGCAGGTGGAACATCATTAAAATGAGATCAAATCTAGGAGAAATTTTCTGATAGCGAGAACAATTAATCAGTGGAATAGCTTGCCCCCTGGACTTGTGGGTACTCCATTACTGGAGGTTTTCAAAAATAGACTAGACATCCATTTGTTTGGGCTGGTGTAACTCTCCTGCTTTCATCAGGGGGTTAAACTAGAAGATCTCTGAGGTCCCTTCCAGTCCTATGATTCCATATCAGACCTGGGCATTCACATCTCACCCTTTGCCTGTCCTCATCTGGCTTGTGACAGCGGCCCTATTGATTTGGCCCACAACAGTTGTTTCGCCTCTTGGAAATTAATTGCCCACCTATATTCTATTTTCTATGATAATAAGGCTTATAGGTAGTCCAGATCACAGACGAAAACACAGTCAATTTCTAGCACACTGCAGGCAGAATTGTTATCTTCTGTGGAACCAAGAGATTGGATTTAAAAAAAGGCCTTGGTCTGATCCTGCCCTGCACGTAAATGTTCTCATCTCTTTTGTAAACCTATCATTCTGATCTTTTCATTTTCTAATCTTTTATTAAGCTGCATTTCTGTTTCACCTACCTTCCTGGTTGTTCTATGTTTTTTCTATTTGATTAGAGTGCTAGAATATTGTACTGACTGATTATATTTAATTTTCTCCTTATCTCGAGATAAATTGTACTTGTGCTGGCTGTTTTATTTTTGAACTGCTTGTATGTAATGTCTTCTTTACATAATCCTTCAATATTGCAAAACCATTTGATAAAGCATCCCAATTCAAATTGATCTGGTATTTGAATAAAAAAAAAACTGATTTTTCTGCAAGATCTTTGATAATTAACTTATTTGTCACTTGCAGTATTCATTGTTATTATATTCTCCTTTATACTCTTGTTGTACAGCATCTAGAACCTCTGGATTTAGCTAGTTTACAGTTAATCCTCAACTTTGGACTCTTAACTGGGTCACCATGTAGTCGGACCCATTTTTATGACCTTTTTTGTGGCAGTTGTTAAGTGAATCCACATTGCAAATGGCCATAAATGTTGGTTACTGAGCATGCAAAATGCAATAATATGGCCAATGGGGGAGGCGATATTGAAACCTTGAAACCTGGTCATAAATCATAACTTTGAACAGTTCAAAGTATGAGGACTATCAGTATTCGTTTTATTAATAAAGACCACCAAGAGCATGGAGTTGGGTTACAGTTAATCTTACATAGATACTCAATCGTGATTACTCTGTTTTTGTTTCTTTCTGCAAGTGGTGTTATTTTACTTTTCTGATTTCTTGTGGGGGTTATTTTTAACAAGTAGCTCCTTTTTTCTGAAAGTGACTTGTAACACTTGTTGCTATCATGATTGCAAATGCAGATAACAGATAAACAGAGTTGGAAGGGACCATGTAGATCATCTAGTCCAGGGGTCGTCAACCTTTTGGACCTCAGGGACCACCAAACTCATAATTTTAGATCCCAGGGTCCACTAACCAGTTTTGTGGGTGTGGCCTAATTTGTGGGTGTGGCTTGGTGGTCATATGACTGGCTAGGCATGGCTTGTATGTAAATATTATAAATATTTATATAAATATTGAATTTTTTTATAAAAAAGAGCAACTTTTACCCAAAATCAGGCAAAGCAGGCAGGCAGATTGAGTTGCTCACAGAATTATTCAGTGATCTATCTATCTGCCCTCGGCTAGCTCAATCTCTTAAATTTGCTTGCTGTGCCTGCACTGAATTTTCTTGCAAGCAAACCTTCAGTCCTAAGGGAGATTCGGCTGTGCTGAGCCAAGGATCTAAAGACTAGCTAGAAACCAAGAAATCCAACCATTTCCTGCTTCCTAGCTAATCTAAATCTCCCAGCACAGCATAACAGATGATGGTTGGAAAAAGGAAAAAGAGCAATTTAGCAGGGAACTTTGCTGGGTAAGGAGTGAGTGGGCAGGAAGGGTTCCTGTGGTGGTGCAGCCTTGTGTTTCTGTGCAGCCTGGATTAATTGCTTTATGGGGTGCTCTGGGGGTGACAATTCTCAGCGGCCCACCAAAACTTTCTCACTGCCCACCAGTTGGCGACTGCTGATCTAGTCCAACCCCTCCGCCCAAATGGGAGACCCTACACCATTTCTGACAAATGGCAGTCCAGTCTCTTCTTGAAAGTCTCAAGTGATGAAGCTCCCACAACTTCTGAGGGCAACTTCTGTTCCATGGGTTGATTGTTCCCCCTGTCAGAAAGTTTCTCTTTATTTCCAGGCTGAATCTCTCCTTGTTCAGTTTCCATCCATTATTCCTTGTCTGGCCCTCAGGTGCCTTGGAAAACAGCTTGGCCCCCTCCTCCACTCTGTGACAGCCCTTCAAATATTGGAAGACTGCTATCCTGTCTCCCCTGGTCCTTCTCTTCCCAGAGACTAGCCAGGCCCAGTTCCTGTAACCGTTCTTCGTATGTTTTAGTCTCCAGTTCCCTAATCCTCCTGGTTGCTGTTCTCTGCACTCTCTATAAGCAGTGCTTGTCTCTTAGAACTCTTGTTAATAGAGTTACATGAATGAAATTTGTTGGTGTTGTTGAACATTACATCTGGTTCTAGTCACCATGATTGAAAAAAAACATATTGAGATATTCTAGAAAGTGTACAGAGAAGAGCAGCAGAGATTATAAGGGGGTAGGCTAACCATATAATGAATGTCCAAGGAAAACAGATATATCTAGTCTAACAAAGAGCATTATTATTACCATATTTATGTTTGTTGTAGTTATTTTATGATTCTGTTGTGAACTACCTAGAGATATGTAGCTGTGTTGGTATAGAAATAGTGAATATAAATAAACAGCTGCCAATTTGCCAGGATCCAAAATGGAGTTATGGCTTATTCAATGAAGTGAACATCATATGGTTTCAAAAAGTGTTTATTTATCCTTCCTTTCATTGTGCATTGTGCATTCTCCAGATCTGAAAGACTCCAGTAAGTCCAACAGAACCTTTTATAGCTAAGCATATAAAAGTAATATCAGGAATAGTTTTCCTTGAAGACGATGGGTGGGAAGAATAACTCATAGTTTACAAAATGAGAAAGTGCTGGAAACTGGTTGCCCAGAGTCTAAATCTCACAGACTGGCCACTTCTTTGTTCCTCAAAATATTAGCAAATGGACTTTTGAAATGTTGGTGCTATATGAATTCCATGCAAATATCATTTTTAGATAATAAATTAGAAAATTGTTCCCAAATGAACTATCGGTTAGTATATTTTTTTTCCTCTCCTTAAAGGATCAAGCACAACTCCTGTCTATAGTTCTGGGCCATTCAGAAAGACGTTTTTGCTTCATATATTGCAAGGAATTAAAATAGATGGTCATTCTAAGATTCTACCAGATTAAGCTTTCTTCTACCAACCAAGTTGTAGACATAGTCACAAAAAATTTAGCAGAAGCTCAACCACCTTCCAGCATGTTCTAAAAGAAGAGAGAAAATAAAACAAAAGATTAGGAAGCCATCCCAATGTAATCTCCATAGCTCAAAGATGATGAAGTCAATAGAAGCAGCTTGAATCCATTGACCTTTTAATGAAGCTAATTGAACTCTGAAGACTGACTCATGTATGCAATTAGCATCCATGGTGGCTATTTTTCTTTAGAGAATTGGAATTGCATACCACTTGCTTGGAATGCACAAAATGTATGGGGTTGGCTTTTTGTGAACACAAGTGGATAGTTATAAGTATTATCCCAAAGAGGTATTATTTCTGTTAAGCATAATGCCAGAAAAATATAAAGAAGGGAACGTATATTTAATATTACATGTCTTGACAGCAGCAAGAATTGCATTTGCACAGTGCTGGGAAAATGAGGAAACACCTACAGAAGAAGCAATAATCCAAAAATATTAAACTGTGCAGAAATGAACAGACTGACACTGAAGATAATAGAAAAAGAAGGCACAGACTATTTTCGGACATGGGACTTGTTTTACAAATGGTTAGACAACAGAGGCAGAAACTAGGAACTGGAAAAATAGCATTATGTAAGCAAATTAACCCAGACAACACAATGTCCACAAAGCACTTATGTATGTAAAGAGAAAATGTATACATAAATAATAATAATACTGGTAATAAAAAAAAGAATTACCATTGAGCATATATGGTGAAGATTGTACGAGGGAGGACAATTACTGGATTCTTTAATTGCCCCATAGAGTTAAAAACAAAAACAACAGGATTTTCTGGGGAAGTCCCACTCTTTCAACATTCAAAGACCCAAGCGATTCACACCTAAAGACCTGTTCATGGCGCTGAGAATTACTAGTCTCCTCTGGGTTTCCTCCAATGTCACCATGTTTGGGGAAAATGGAAGACCTGAGGTCTACTAGGGAACTGTTTGGCATTTCAACAAAGAGGAAATGTTAGCGCTGAGTATCTTACGTATTTACTTAATCGCATGACAACTGGATGAAATGTGAGGGACTGCTGCTGGTCAACACCTCCCCCTTTCCCAAAGTAACTGGGCATCAGCTACCACAAAGAGAAGAGTAAATAAAGAAAAGGGGCAGAATTCAATTTACATCCACGACTGTACCTTCCAGCAGATGATCAAACTATCAGTAGGATTACAACATTGGTAAAATTTAAGGAAACGCTGCAAACAGGAACATCGGACATCCAGGGAAACTCCAGAAGGTGGGCTTGCAAGAGGTTTCCACAACAGTTCTGTTCCTTTTACTCTTAAGGGCCAGTAGAGAACATCGTCCAATCTCAAGGGCCGACGCAGACAGCAGCCGTTCACCATGAAAGTTACGCTGAACAGAGTTTCTGTGTTTGCAGTCTTGACGGCGGTTTTAAGTTTCACCTTCCTGGTGGCTGCCCTGGCCACAGACTTTTGGTACCAAATTGATGCTTCAGGGTTGGAGGAGTTGACCAACTATACAGGTAGCCTGAAGTCCCATAGAGGACTCTGGAGGACTTGCCAATGTAAGTACATCCGGGGTTTCCCTGAGAAGTTGGTGGGTTTTTGTTTTTGTTTTGCAAGCAATCGGCATATTTAATTGGCTTAACTGAATGACCCTTTCCCAAGGCTAGACTCCCAAGTGGTCCAACGATGTGATTGATGGATACTTTTAATGTTAAAGGAGATGATTTGTTTATTTTGATAAGGAGAATGCTTTAAAAACCTTCGGTCTCATTTTGTCACAGGGGTACACAAACGTGTGAACTCTCCTGAAATTGCATAAGTTTCTCACCCTCTATTTTGTTCCCTTATCCTAACAGTCACCAGGTTCCACGACTACACTTTCGTTTCAGACAAGATTTATCTGAACACATCACCTTCCTAATATTGTCAGGGTTTAGAAGAACAAAAATAATGCCGTACAGTTCTCCCTACTCCCACCCTTCGACTTAGTCTGATGAAAGAGAAGTTGGCATGGAAGTTGTCTGGAAGGGGAAGAGAATTTTGGACAATTTGTCCAAGGTGGGGTTGTGGTGAATGGGTGCCTCTATAATGACAAAGGTGGCTAGGAAATGTGTGCCTTTCATTGCCTTTCTCGCCTTGCCTGGTGTAATCATCTCTGCAAATCCCTAGAGGAGATTCCAGGTAGAAATTTCTTCCAAGGACATTGGAAGAAATTAAACCACCCAAAGAGGATTGTGAACTTTTAGACATCCATTGTTTTCACATATTCAGTGGAGAACTTTGAAAAGTCCCCCTTTAAAAAAAAACCTGGGACACTTTGAAAAACTATGAATGAGAAAAGTATAAATCTATACTTTACAGCCCATATATATGAACTATATAATTACCTAGAGTCTCTGAAAATATGTCTGTCTGTCTTTTCTTTCTTTCTTTCTTTCTTTCTTTCTTTCTTTCTTTCTTTCTTTCTTTCTTTCTTTCTTTCTTTCTTTCTTTCTTTCTTTCTTTCTATATAATTGTTTTTATTATTATTATAGAGACAAAGAGCATATAGTTCTTGTTCAGATCAGCAGGATTTCAACTATGCTATTTCTCAAAAATATTCCAGCTAGGTTTTTATATAATTGCCCTGACCAAATGCAAGAACTTTGGACAATATGTATCCATACAACATGCTAACAATATTCTAATAATGAGGTAGAGAACATTTGGGTGGCTAGGGCTGCATTTAATGCCTTCTGTTTCAATTGCTAGGTTAATCAACTCGAAGCTTAAGTTGATTAAGCGGTGGTGCCAGATGGGAAATGGTTGACCAAAACTGTTGCTTGAGCAGGTCTGATGGTTTCCTCTTTTCTTGCAGTTAATAGAACATGCCTCCCTATGGTAAACCCGTTCAAATCTAAAACCGCAAACATGACAACTTCACGTAAGAATGTTCTGTGTAAGTAGCTTCTAAGTTGTATTTCCTGACAACAATTGCCATACAGGGAAGTCAGTGTTATCTACTAACACTGCCCTCCGACTCCAGTGTTTTATTCATTGGAAATATATTTTTTTTTTGCAATGCTAGGGTTTTATAGTTCTCCAAAGACTTCTTCAAATGAATGAACTGAAAGGGCGGCACACATTGTAATATGGAGGAAGTCTATGATACCTTCCAATTTATTAAAATGAAACATTTATTCTCCATGACCAGGGCTTTATGAAATTAGATACTTGGGCTGAAGGTATATTAGCAAGGTGAAAAGGTAGACTCAGTCACAATATTGGGGTTTTGGTAACTTCTGGGAGAATTACATTACATTTCTTCATTTACCCATTTAGGATTATGGTCCAGAGCTCCTTGGTCTTTGGTATTGATCAGAAACCTGTGAAGGCAATGGATCTATGATGAACAGCCATTATTCACACCATCTGTATTTCAGTTTGGGGTTGAGACAAGAACTACCCCAAATAATAATTTGGCAGTTTTTAGAAGGGATTCCATTGATACCAACAAAGGGGTGAATGTATTGTTGTTGTTGTTTTCTGAATGAAGTAAAGGTAGAAGATTCAGGTCAGATTCAGGTCAGATTCAGGTCAAATTCAGTTATTGGTGACTAAATGTTCATATAGTTTTCCTGGCCCCCCAAAAGAAGTGATTTCCCACTGTGACCTTCTGGGATTTTTCCCTTTCCCAATCTAGTCTGTAGTCCGGGGCACTCTGATAGCTTTTCCTATCTTGGTCTGTTTCATTGGAAAGTATGCCTGAGGAAAGGAAGTCATATTTGGCTAACACTCAGGCTGATCTTAACTTCATTTTGCAAGATCAGGAAAGGCCAGACAGAGCCTTCTTCATGCTGAAATTGGCAGATATAATAATAACAACCGTTAAATGAAACGGTAGCATTCCAATTTGTGATAGAACTATTAATCTTGCTTGCGAGAAGCTGTCTGGCAGAGGCCAGATATTACTGACATTAGAAGGGGAGATGAAGCTGCTGGAAGTTTTCTGGGATAGAACCTGGAAGGAGTTGACCCCATTTAATCTGGTTGGATGGGTAGATTATGCAGCCCCTCAGAAAAAGGTCTGGAATCCCAAAGGGTTTTATAATATGGCAACAATCAGCACCTTGAATTGCACCTGGAAGCTAATTGGCAAACAAGACAGCTCTTGACATAAAGTTGTTGTATGACTGCCTTGAAGTGAAGTGATAATGATTCAGACTTGAGAAAGACGAATCACACTTTAAAAAATATACACTGCTCAAAAAAATAAAGGGAACACCTAAACAACACAATTTAACTCCAAGTCAATCACACTTCTGTGAAATCAAACTGTCCGCTTAGGTAGCAACACTGATTGACAATCAATTTCACATGCTGTTGTGCAAATGGAATAGACAACAGGTGGAAAGCAGAGGCAGTTAGCAAGACGTCCCCAATAAAGGAGTGGTTCTGCAGGTGGTGACCACAGACCACCTCTTAGTTCCTATGCTTTCTGGCTGATGGTTTGGTCACTTTTGAATGCTGGTGGTGCTTTCACTCTAGTGGTAGCATGAGACGGAGTCTACAATCCACACAAGTGGCTCAGATAGTGCAGCTCATCCAGGATGGCACATCAATGCGAGCTGTGGCAAGAAAGTATGCTGTGTCTGTCAGCGTAGTGTCCAGAGCATGGAGGCGCTACCAGGAGACAGGCCAGTACATCAGGAGACGTGGAGCCGGCCGTAGGAGGGCAACAACCCAGCTTCAGGACCGCTACCTCCGCCTTTGTGCAAGGAGGGACAGGAGGAGCACTGCCAGAGCTCTGTAAAATGACCTCCAGCAGGCGACAAATGTGCATGTGGCTGCTCAAATGGTCAGAAACAGACTCCATGAAGGTGGTATGCGGGCCCAACGTCCACAGGTGAGGGTTGTGCTTACAGCCCAAAACCGTGCAGGACATTTGGCATTTGCCAGAGAACACCAAGATTGGCACATTCTCCACTGGCGCCCTGTGCTCTTCACAGATGAAAGCAGGTTCACACTGAGCACATGTGACAGACGTGACAGGGTCAGGAGATGCCGTGAAAAATGTTCTGCTGCCTGCAACATCCTCCAGCACGACCGGTTTGGCAGTGGGTCAGTAATAGTGTGGGGTGGCATTTCTTTAGGGGGCCGTACAGCCCTCCATGTGCTCGCCAGAGGTAGCCTGACTGCCATTAGGTACCGAGATGAGATCCTCAGACCCCTTGTGAGACCATATGCTGGTGTGGTTGACCCTGGGTTCCTCCTAATGCATGACAATGCTAGACCTCATGTGGCTGGAGTGTGTCAGCAGTTCCTGCAAGACGAAGGCATTGATGCTATGGACTGGCCTGCCCGTTCCCGAGACCTGAATCCAATTGAGCACATCTGGGACATCATGTCTCGCTCCATCCACTGACACCAGGTTGCACCACAGACTGTCCAGGAGTTGGGGGATGCTTTAGCCCAGGTGTGGGAGGAGATCCCTCAGGAGACCATCTGCCACCTCATCAGGAGCATGCCCAGACGTTGTAGGGTGGTCATACAGGCACGTGGAGGCCACACACACTACTGAGCCTCATTTTGACTTGTTTTAATGACATTACATCAAAGTTGGATCAGCCTGTAGTGTTTTTTTCCACTTTAATTTTGAGTGTAACTCCAAATCCAGACCTTCATGGGTTGCTAAATTTGATTTCCACTGATAATTTTTGTGTGATTTTGTTGTCAGCACATTCAACTATGTAATGAACAAAGTATTTAATAAGAATATTTCATTAATTCAGATCTGGGATGTCTTATTTTTGTGTTCCCTTTATTTTTTTGAGCAGTGTATAATCTAGTCATTCTGATTGTATTATTTCTTCATCAAGCAAGACTTGTTTCACATCTATCATTCCTTCATTAATGTCTTTTCAACTTAGTCCATCCATAGATGAGGACATTGTTACTGATACTGTTGTTGTGGCTAATTTCTGGCTCCATTTTATGAAGACCTTTTTAATATTTCAAATGTTATAGTGTTTTGTGTCATTTTTAAAATCTCAATCCCAATCAAAACCAAAGGAAGTTTTTTTTTCTTTGTCTTGAATCTTTAGTCCCCTCTAATGTCCAATTTTAATCATGGGGTTTAATCATGTCTGTTACGATTTACAACAAACAAAACAATCCTAGTTCCAATAAAAGCCATTTATTTTATATAGTTAGTTACAAATCTTATAGTAAAATATTTCCATATTGTTTGGTCCCTTAATTAGTTTTTATAACTTTCTTAGTTCAAAAACTTTTTTTGACATTTATTTAGTAATACATTTATTTGTTTATACTTAAAAATAAATAATACATTTATTTATAAAATCAATAAGATTTAAGTTACAAAAATTCTGAATAGCCTTAAAGGTAAAATATAAAGGTTCCTCTCGCACATACATGCTAGTTGTTTCCAGCTCCGTAGGGATGGTGCTCATCTCCATTACAAAGCCGAAGAGCCAGCGCTGTCCGAAGATGTCTCCGTGGTCATGTGGCCGGCATGACTAAATGCCGAAGGCACATGGAACACTGTTATCTTCCCACCAAAGTGGTCCCTATTTTTCTACTTGCATTTTTTATGTTCTTTTGAATTGCTAGGTTGGCAGAAGCTGGGACAAGGAATGGGAGCTCACTCCGTTACATGGCGCTAGGGATTCGAACTGCCGAACTGCGACCTTTCTGATTGACAAGCTCAGCATCTTAGCCATTGAGCCACCGCGTCCCTTTGAATAGCTTTAAGACAGTTTAAATAGGCAACTTTCAAACAATTAGTGAACTGAAGATCCTTTAAAAGTTTTTTCCCTGGTTGTGAACTTAATGGTTGATTCCTTTGTCTCCTGGCACTCAAACCTGCGCAGACTGCTGTCCCGTGTGCCAACCCTGAATCTGGCCTGGTGGAGGCCATTTTGAGACTTCAACGCTGACACATTGGAGAAGACGGACAGGGAGGCGGGAATAGAGATAGTTGGGGTGTTGTAGCCAAAACAAAATACTTTCTCTTGGGAACCAAGGACTAACTGGACAGCATCCTGATTGGACCATGTGGCTGAATGTTTTGAGAAAGTGAAAAACTTTTATTTTGAATTAGGTGAATAGTCAGAGTCGGTTTTCACCAGCCTGTGCCAATATGACATATCCAATAAACTTATTCTTTGAGGAATCAACCTGCCTCAGTATTTTGGTTGCTGTGGATATGTTACTTGGAGACCTGACACTGTGGACTCCTTATAAGGAATTGTCTAGAACAAATATGGGCAATCCTTTATCCTCTCTCTTACCCAGAGAGACTTTGAAGAACCAGGTTTTTTAAAAAAAGTTTTTGCTGCAGTCATTGTCTCTGCTCTCCATGGAGACATGTCCGTTGGAAATCAGTTTTAAAAATGGGACGTGATGATGATCAGCAATTTTTACTGAATAAGAACGATGTGGTTATAACATTTATTCACTATGAGACTCAAGCCCATTCAAAATTGTGGGGAAAAACCCTTCAACTGCCTAATTAGCAAGACAGCTTCTTAGGTAGAAACCTCCAAAATATACAGTATATTGGCACAATTTAAAAACCAGGCTCTAGACGGAAGTCTCTTCTATAAGACAGCACATTCAATTTCCCCTATGTTGTGGCATCATTCTGGTAGATAGTTTTTTGGAAAATCAGAAAGCAGGTGATAGAAATACTCCCCAAACAGCCACAGACCAGGTTATATAGTCTCGAGACGACTACTTTGGTAGGCCAACCGCTCATCAATCGGTAAAATTCTTTTCTTTATAGCCAGACAACTTCCATTTGTTTTATTGTGAGCATTTAAAATTTGAAAACAGGCAGGACAGAGATAGACATAGAGAGAGATAAATACTTCTGGGCAACACCTTGTGCTTTGGAAATGTAAAAGGGACCCGACGTGAATCAGTTTGCTCTTGTTAACATAGTAAAACTCCCTTCTTTTCTTGTAAATAAATGAACACTGGGTATTTTTCTGGGCTTTGGGGCCACCCCATGGCAAAACAACAGAGATTACACATGTGAGGAACATTGGTGTACCTCATTCTTTGTAATACAAAGAGAACCTTGTATTCCTCCTTCTCTAGTGGTACTTTCTGGGTCTTTGGGAAAATGTATGTCTATAATGAAAAGAAGGACAAGGAGTGACATGATAGCAATGTTCCAATGTCTAAGGGGCTTCCTCAAAGGAGGGGATCAACCTATTCTCCAAAGCACCTGAAGTAGGACAAGAAGCAATGGATGGAAACTAATTAAGGAGAGAAGCAGCCTAGAATAAAGGAGAAATTTCCTAATATTGAGAACAATTAACCAGTAGAACAGCTTCTCTCCAGAACTCTTCAACAGTGGACATTTTAAAGAAGAGATTGAACAACTATTTGTCTGTAATGGTTTAGGTTTCCTGCTTGAGCAAAGGGTTGAATTAGATTACTTCCAAGGTCCCTTCCAACTGTTATTCTATTATTTTGAACATATCAATTTTCATTCCTGTTCAGAGGTAATAGGAAACTGCCCTAGGTTCCCCCACCTTGGTTGGGGACGGTGCAGACGGAAATAAAGCAACTGGAAGCATCAATCCTGACCACTCTTAGAAGACCACATCTAGGAGAAGCCCAAAGCCATGGAGAGGCACCTAGCAACCTTCTGTTTGGGCAGCTGGTAGGACAATGGTCCTGCGGTGCTGGCTCGGAGAAAGAGAGATAGAAAAACAGTTGCATGGGAACAAAGCCAGTGATAAAAAGCCTTCATGTGGAGGGTTCCCAGGACACCGGAGTGTTCAAGGAATGTCAGCTTATCCATTAATGGTTAATGATTATCTCAGTGCAGCGAGGAGAACTTTTGCAAACAAAAACAGCTGTTCCACGAGGTGCTTGGCGAAATGCAACCCAACATTTACTCAGATGGAAAGGACCCAGCCAACACCGTAGCTGGCTATTTATTTATTTATGCGGATAAGTAATCTCCCAGCATCCTGAAGTTAAACAGTATTCGAGGCCAAGAGGCCTGCACTCCTGAGATTTGGGCTGCCATTGCGGAAAAGGTTCTTCCTGCCATCAGTCAATTGGCTGGTTGTTGAAGACCTGTTCTGAGAAGCACGGATGAGTTTTGCAGTTGTCCACAAATGTGAATGCCTCTCTTCCTGTGGTCATTAGCTGAGTTGCCCCAAATCAGAGAATTAGTTCACAGGGACATGTCTGCAACACCCATTCACACCCAGCGAAAGAGACAGTCACGGTACCCCCTTGCCAGGTGTGGTATTAAACGTCAATTTATTTAGTGTTGTGGCACGTCATGCATGGACTAGCAGTATAAATTAACATTTCAACTACCGGTAGATTAGGTAGTAGGACAGAAATCATTCTACTCTGCATTCTGTGAGATAATGGTTGTGTTTAAAACAGGGAGCTTCAGAGATGCTCCTCTTCACTGCAATTTCCAACCCTGGCCTCTGTCTCTTCTCTCATCACTGCTTTGAGCTAAGTTGAAGTGATTGCCTCTCTCCCTCTCTCTCCTTCCAGACCTTCACGGGGCATTTGTGGTCCTGTTGCCTCTAAGTCTCATCATCATAGTCTTTGGAGGAATGGCAGGTGTCCTTAGCATCTTCACCCAAGCCTTCTGCCTTCTGCTGTGCACCGGGGTGCTCTATCTTCTAGGAGGTATGTGGTCCTTAACATGAAGTGATATCATGTGAATTGTTAGTACCACTTTATACTGCATGGTGAGACCACACGGCATCCAGTTCTGATCACCATGATATGAAAAAGATGTCGAGACCCTAGACAGAGTACAGAGAGGAGCACCTCAAATGATAAGAGGTCTGAAGGCTAAAGCATATGATGAACAATTGAGGGAACTAGGTCAGAGGTGGTATTCAGCAGGTTCTGACCAGTTCTGGAGAACCGGTAGCAGAAATTTTGAGTAGTTCGGAGAATGAGCAAATACCACCTCTGACTGGCCCTAACCCCAACTGTTCTCTGCCTCCCAAGGCCCAGCTGATTGGCTGGGTCTCCTTTGGTTGCCCTGCCCAGGAGAACGGATTTGGAAAACAGGCTAGTGGGGAGGGGAGAGAATGGGATTTGGCAGTATCCTTCCTCTGCCACACCCACCAAGCCACGCCCACCAAGCCACAGAACCAGTAGTAAACATTTTTGAATCCCACCACTGAACTAGGTATGTCTAGTCTAACAAAGAAAAGAATTAGGGGTGACATGATTGTAATCTTATGATACTTGAGTAGCCTTATTTTCCAAAGCACCTGAGCATTATAAAAAGTAATGGGTGGAAGGTCATTCCAGGGAGAGCCAGCCTAGAATGAAGGAGAAATTTCCCGACAGTGTCAACAATTTAATCAATGGAACAGTTTGACTTCAGAAGTTGTGGGTGTTCCATCACTGGAGGTTTTCAAGAAGAGTCTGGATAGCCTTTTGTTCAGAGTAAAATAGGGTCTCCCTGCTTGACCAGAGGATTGGACGAGAAGATCTCCAAATTTCCTTCCAACCCTCTTATTCTACATTTCTATGTTCTATGATTTGAGAGTCCAAAAAATAACATCTGGAGCTGACTTAGAGTCAGCTGGCCACTCAGATGTCTCTTCAAATTTCTCAATCAAGTCTGTGGGCAGAAAAATGGGATGGATTTTTCCAGGGGAAGAAATCCAGAGTCTGATAGGACCTTTTCTTGGCTGAACACATTTGATTAAAAGACAGAAGCTTGGGTGAACTCACAAAAATCTCTGCTTTTTAATCTTAGTGATTTCCTTAGAATGCTCTTGATCATATGAAATATATAAAACCAATACAAAAAATACAAATGTTCATCGTATGTCATCAGTCCTACAGGTAAGTGAGTCAATTCATTCCTATCAATGCTTTTTTACTGGAAATTGAAAAGGCCGATTTCTGGTAAGAAAGTCATAAATAGTACCCTGTGGCTGTGGAATGCTCAACTGGCTGTTGCCAAGTGCCTAAAATGCGGTCATATGACCACAGAGGGTCTAGGACAACTCGGCACAGCCAACTCGCCATGGCTATATTGCCACAGCCAACTTACCGCAGGAGAAGAGTTACACTAATATCAAATAAATGCTGGAAGAGAATCATTAAAGAAAGGGTGCAAAAGGAGGGACAGAATGAAATGTGAATGACAAATTTAAAACACGTTTTTAAATTATTGTAAATACCGAAATTGAATGGTTGAATTGTCCTGCAGTGAGTTGTCCCACAGTGTGTTGCCTGTGGCAAGCTGGCCATGGTGAGTTGTCTACGCCAAGTTGTCCCATTCCATACCACAGGTGTGTGTAAGTGCCATCATCTGCACTCCAGAATTAAACCTTCAGGGAGAGCTGGAGCCGTCATAACTTCAAGCAGTTGGTAAGCGAGGACTATCTGTATTCATGCACTCACGGCTACAATGACCAAATCCCTTCTAGTCTTCAGAATCTGCATGGTGGTTTATAGAGTGGAATGGGGCAACTCACCATGGTCATCTTGCCATTGGACAACTCATTGTGGCCAACTCATCCTGAGACAACTTGTGGTGGGACAATTTCACGCGGGATAACTCAGTGTGATAAATATGATCCGCCACTGTTTCTTCAGCATTATTTCTATTGACAAAACTAGAAATAATGTAGAAGAAATAGAGGCAGATAACATTTATCACGTTGTTTTTCCCATGTGTTTAAGTTTACTTTATTGATTAGTCCTTGGGCCATATCAAAGTGCAATTATTACTAAAATCTGATAAAAACAATTTAAAAAGGAATTGGATAAAACACGATTTAAAATGAAATCAGAATAAAATACAATAATTTAATATGTAGATAAATAAAATATGATGAAATTATACAGTATTTCAGTATCACCCCTACAATCTACTCCAATCAATCCCACATAGGCTGATCTCAACCAGACCATTTTGCACAAGTCCTGTGCTGGGTTAAATGTTATTTTTTTCAGATCCTTATCCCACGTGGATTGTCCCGTGGCAGGTTGGCCAGGGTGACTTGTTTCCAGACCCTTATGGAGAGAGTTTTCAATGACCTTATTTGTGTCCTCTTTTAGCTCTTGCTACCCTCCTTGGGGTCAGCATCTACATCGCTTATTCTGCTGCCCTCTTCAAGCACGTTGCGTCTTTCCAGGGGAGGAGGAAGCTCATGGAGAACCTCAACATCCAGTTTGGCTGGTCTTTGGTCTTTGCCTGGGTCTCCATCGGCGCTGAGCTTCTCACCGGGTTGGCCTTCATTCTCATGGCCAAGATGGTGGGCCAGAAACGACGGTGGGACAATTTCATTTGAGGGTGTTGGAGATGGTCCTCTTCACCGCTCTTTCCATCCCCGGCCTCTGTCTCTTTTCTCATCGCTGCTTTGAGCTAAGTTGAAGTCACACTCCAGGGGCTTTTGTCACTGCTTCTCGTTGCTGAGAATTTTCAGCCGAAACTAAAATCAGAAACTCAAACTTTGGGTTCGTGCAGAATTGTGAGTCCATGTAAAATAAGCAAATAAAAAACATCTGTATCTTCAACTACTGCATCTCATGAAAAACCCAATGCCTCCTTGAACAAATGAACACAAAATATTTTGTCTAATTTATCCTTCCCCCCTTTAAAATTATTCACTATAACTTCGGTGCTCCCAGTTCGATTGGCAGATCAGGGTTAAATCAGGCCCATTTTGGAAACCTTGTCCATCCACCATTCTAACTTCTGAAGTTTCAGTAGATAATTTTTCTAAGGGCTACTTAGAAATCTCCTTCTTTACTTCCTCCTTTCAATTTTAAAGGAGAGAAAATGAAACAAAAATCTGAGGTCCTCAGATTATCAGGAGTTTAGATTCTGGACAAATTCTGTAGTTGTTTCTGCACTGTCAGAAGAAAATATTGGCAGTATTCAGTCCACAGATTTAATGAGAGAGAGAGAGAGAGAGAGAGAGAGAGAGAGAGAGAGAGAGAGAGACATATATATTCAATTTCCCCATTGAGTTTGCTTGTTGGAAGCCGTCTGGGAAGTTGCAAATGGTGATCACATGACCCCAGGACAGTGCAGCCATCATAAATGCATGTCAGTTGCCAAGTGCTTGGATTTTGATCTGTGGGCACAGGGATGCTGCAATGGTTGTTAGTGTGGAAATCAGTAGGCTGTATTTGTGCAATATGCAGATCTTGGTTAGTGGTGATCTTAGTGATTAGTGGCAATTCTGGTGTGTGGGGTGTGTGTGTGTGTGTGTGTGTGTGTGTGTGCTTAGCATGAAGTTCAAATGCCAAGTCTGCTTAATTCAAGATCAATTGAGGTAGTAAGACCTAGAGTACTGCATCCAGTTTTGGTTTTCACAGTATAAAAAAATGTTGAGACTCTAGAAAAAGTGCAGAGAAGAGCAACCAAGATTATTAGGCGACTGGAGGCTAAAACATATGAAGAACGGTTACAGGAACTGGGCAGGGCTAGTCCAGTGAAGAGAAGGGCCAGGGGAGCCACGAGAGCAGTCTTCCAATATTTGAGGGGCTGCCACAGAGAGGATGAGGGGGTCAAGCTATTCTCCAAGGCACCTAAAGGCCAGACAAGGAACAATGGATGGAAACTGATTCAGGAGAGATTCAACCTGGAAATAAGGAGAATTTTTCTGACAGGGAGAACAATCAACTCGTGGAATAGAAGTTGCCTTCAGAAGTTGTGGAAGCTTCATCCCTGGAAGCTTTCAAGAAGAGACTGGACTGTCATTTGTCAGAAATGGTGTAGGGTCTGCTTGGGTGGAAGGGGTTCGACTAGATGACCTACAAGGTCCCTTCCAACTCTGTTCATCTAATCTGAAATCTAATCTATTTAGTTATGATACACTCTGTTGTATAAACCCACCAAACAGCTCAGTTTAGCAATTAGATAAACTGCATATCCAGCCAATCATTTTCTTGCATGTAATGGCAGCAAATTCCAATCATTTGATGGCAAAACGGATAGCATATAAATTGGATGGATGGATGGGTGGATCTTCTCCTGGATTGTGCCATCACAGAACATTCATAAAGAAGCTGTCTGCAAAAATCAGAACTATTGCAATTTTGGCAAATTCTTTTTATTATTATTAAAGTTTATTATAATATAAACAAAACAAATGATAGCAAAGATAATAAGGAATAGGGAAAAGTGAAAGAAGGGAGTGAAAAGAAGTGAAAGAAGATAATAAGGAATAGGGAAAAGGGAAAGAAGGGAAAGGTAAAGGAAGAAGGGAAAAAAAGCCGTGACTTCCAACTTTTTTCAGCGTCATAAAATACAAAATACAGTTGCAACCTTCAACTTTTTGCTGTACATATTTAGTAAGCACTAGCCATTTCTGTAACAATAGAGTTAATCTAATCATCAAAACCTACAGTGGAAGTTTTATTTTTGTTTTCTCCCTCTTTCGAGCGTAAAGCCCAGAAGCAATTTCCAAACAGAAACAAAACTAGATTAGTTCTTTAACTTTTTAAAAATTCAGGTTCCATCTGCAGTTTGGGCAAATTCGATACTTTAGTTTGTCACCTACCTCTCCTCTTGAGGGTAATATGTATGTACGTATGAGAAAGTTCTGATATTTCCTTTAAAGAAATAATCCTGAAAGGACACTCCAAAGCGATGGAATGGCTTAATTTCAGAGGAAATAAACGATTGCATGGGAAAACTCTGGTCTTTGCTGACATCTAGTGCCCAGAATGAGAACTGAATAGCTCAGAAATAAAAGCCTGTGGAAGGGGAAAAGGTTAAAAAGCTGGAGTTAAGGTCTTGAATTTGATGTCTGCGCTGGAAAAAGTAGGTTAAAGTAGAACTCTAACGGGTTTCCAGTCCTCTAACTCAAACAAGGTCTGATGGGTGTGATTCCCTTTGTAAATTATAATGTATCATCTACAAAACCTTTGCTAGACCAATTCTCGAATACAGCTCACCTGGAATTGGCACTGTATATCGGACATTAACACAATTGAGCGGGTTCAGAGGTATTTCTCGAGAAAAGTAGTCCACTCCTCCGCTCACAATAGAATTCCTTATGCCTCCAGGCTTGGGATTTTGGGCCTGGACAATCTGGAACTGCACTGCCTGCGGTCCGATCTAAGCATAGTACACAAAATTGTCTGCTATAACGTCTTGCCTGTCAATGACTTCTTCAGCTTCAATCACAGTAATACACGGGCAAATAACCTATACGAACTCAAGTGAAACAGATCCCACAACTCGATTGCAGAAAATACGACTTCAGCAACAGAGTGGTCAATGCCTGGAACGCCCTACCTGACTCCATTGTCACAGCCTCAACCCCTCGCAGTTTCAACCTCAAACTGTCTATTGTGGATCTCACCCCATTCTTAAGAGGTCCTTAAAGGGGGCGTGCATAAGTGCACCAGCGTGCCTACCATCCCTGTCTTACTGTCCCCATTTATCTGTATTTATTCCCTTTGTTCATGTTTATGTTCATACCTACACTTGTTATCTTGTACATCTTTGACAAAGGAAAAAAAAGAGAAAAAAAGAGAGAAATCAATACCTTTATGTGTTTGGCCTGGCTGTGCCTTCTCATTCCATTTTTTCCCCAAGTGGATAGAGGTTCCATGCTCAGATCATCGTATTTGGTTTGTTGTTATTGTAAATGTTTTAATTTTAATACTTAATCTTTTAATATCTCTCATTTTAACTGTTTATATTACTTTTTTTATCATATTGTAAACCACTCAGAGTCGCTTGATGGTCATATAGGCACAATATAATAATAATAATAATAATAATAATAATAATAATAATAATAATAATAATAATAATAAAAAATCACTTAATATTATAAAGTTAATGGAGAAACAAGGCAAAGCTTGCGTGAACGTTCTCTTCTTACTCCCTGCAGAGGGAATCAAAATTGTGATGCTTTCTGAGCTTGGTTGTTTACTTGCAGACATCACATTACCCAACTAGGTAACATCATCAGTGCAAGAAAAGCGTGGGGTTTGCTCTTTAGTTATACACAGTATAAACATTCCTAATGGCCTGTTGTACATTTTTATGCCACATGTTTTCTTTAACCTTTCAAGATGTGTAACTGTGATTCCCCGGTATAAAATCGGTTGTTACTTGTTAATCACTTCTTCGGTCTAATGGGTTTTTTTTCCTGTACTCCCGCTTGCATCTTCCAATCAAATTGTCAAGTACACTTGAGTTGTGAAGGACCCTTAAGTTGGCTTGTACTAACAATAGCATTAGCACTAGCACTTAGACTTATGTACCACTTCACGGTTCTTTCCAGCCCTCTCTAAGTGGTCAGAGTCAGCATGTTACCCCCAAACAATCTGGGTCCTCATTTTACTGACCTTGGAAGGATGGAAGGAGGTCAACCTTGAGCTGGCCAGGATTGAACTGCTGGCAGTCGGCAGAATTGCCCAAAGGGAGCTGTGATTCCCAAGGGGCCACAGCCTGGGGGGTTGGGGACCTCTGCTTTTAGAGCATTTGAAAAGTGGGACAAGAGGAGTTTTAGTGACATCATTCACTAATATTCTCCCACTATTGAGAGTAGGAGAATTATTATATGCGTCCAGCCTGTGTTTGATAATGTGAAACAACAACGACAACCACAAAGCATGTTAGAAAAGGAAGTGAAAACATAGCCTATCATGTAAGAAAAGGTCCAGGGAAAGGCAGTGTCAACAAATGAGAACAATTCTCTGAGGAAAGGATGCACTATTTTGGTGTTTTCCTGCTTAGAAAAGGGAAAGAAACACACAACTGGGTTGTACAAAATGACGCAGGACCAGCCGAAAGCGGATAAAGCAACCCACTCATCTCGGAACAATTGGCCTCAGTTGTGAATGGTGCAAGATTCAGAAATGATAAAAGAGATATTTCTTGACATAGAACCTCGTTAAACTTTGGGCCACAGAATGCAGGGATGTCTATCAGTTTGGAGTGCTTTAAAAGGGGCCAAGGCACACGAAAGAATAATGAAGTTTATTTGTAGAACGGAGAATCAAGAGGATTGAAAGGGATCTCAAAGGCCGTCTGGTCCATATGACCTCCCAAGCGACATATTTGGCACTTAGCAATAGCACTTAGAGTTATATACCACTTTACAGCCCTCTCTAAGCAGTTGAAAGACTCAGCCTCTTGCTCCCAACAATCCGGGTCCTCATTTTACTGATGGAAGGCTGGAAGGCTGAGTCAACTTTGAGCCAGTCAGGATCAAACTCTGGGTTGTGGTGGAGAGAGAGAGAGAGACAGACAGACAAAGATAGATCATGAGAGAAAAAGAACGATCAAGATAGAGAGAGAAAGAAAGATGAAGATGGATCC